TTGTTTTCAGGACCGAAAAGGACTCTCAGATGTCCAAAAGAAATAACTTCAGCTGATGGACTGTTCCTGAAACTCAGCTGCATGGACTTGAATTCTCTTTGCATTGTTTTTTGCATTTTCTTAGATTGTAGGATTGTTTTTAGTGATTTGTTAGTATTGTATATTTTACAGGTGAAGAAATTTCCTGTTCATTCCACATCAGCATTTTTCTTTTATTTTATACAATTTAGAAAGGTGAGATGTCGCAGACATTTTTTCACAGAAATCCTTTCTTTCAGATTTCTGCATTTTCTGGGAGGCCAGAGGCCCCAGAAGATGAATGTAAACAATTGTTATCAGCTGCTGTGGAATGTAACAGGGACACCTTGATTGGCTCATGTTTGTATGTTTATAATTGAGGGCCAATCACAAGAGCAAGCCAGGGGACCGAGTCCCTGGGCACAACTTTGTTTGAGATTCTTTCTTTTCTATTCTTAGCTTAGCAGCATCTGCAAACTTCTCTTTTTATTCTATTTAGTATAGTCATAATGTATTTTATATCATATATCAATAAATACAGCCTTCTGATCAAGAAACAAGATTCATCGTCTCTCTCACCAGCAGTGACCCACTCAGGCGCTGTAACAAAACTGAAAAACATGGAAATGCAGGCAGGCCATATGCCATCAAGTGCAGGCACATGCAGCACAGCTTGCCCAAATTGGTCCCCACTGAAGGCCAAAAGAGAAAAGAAGGACTTACAAACACGCTGGAATGGAGATGGCATCAAAGGAATTGCAATTGGAGGAGAAAAATGCAAATTTGGGAAACTCCCCGATGACAAGAAAATGGACAGGGATTCTATCAGGTGCAGTGCAAAACACAAAAACATGCCAAAACTGAGCTCACAGATGTTGCAAAAGCAGAGGAAAACATCAAGGAGGAAGACACAACTGGGAGGGGAAGATATGAGGGACATGGCGGTGATACCTGAAAAAAGAAAAAAAAAAGAAAAAAATCTGTCCCTAAGTCAAAGCCATCAAAAGGCATGGAATGCCTACAAGGGCAGGGACAAGTACCAAAGATTCCTCTAGTGGTCATCATTGAAATGGCAAAATTCCCTTTCCCTTCCCGAAAGGAAATTTCATTTCCTTTCGGGAAGGGAAAGGGAATCTTGCGACCCTGAAAAGAAAGGCTTACAAACACTCTGGAAAGGAGATAGGATCAAATGAAATGCAACTGAAAAAACCAGAAAATCGGCAATTTTAGTGTCTTCCAAAAATTGGCTGTGGGGAAATGAGCTGCATTGCAAAGGACCAACACATGGCAAAAGTAAGCTCTCAGACATTGCAAAAGCATGGGGAAATGTCAGCGAGGAGTACACACCATAGGGAGAAAGATATGAGGGACATGGCATGGGGACTTAAAAAAAAAAATAATTCCTTGCCAAACTGAAAAACATGGAAATGCAGGCAGGCCATATGCCATCAAGTGCAGGCACATGCAACACAGCTTGCCCAAATTGGTCCCCACTGAAGGCCAAAAGAGAAAAGAAGGACTTACAAACACGCTGGAATGGAGATGGCATCAAAGGAATTGCAATTGGAGGAGAAAAAATGAAAATTTGGGAAATTCCCCGATGACAAGAAAATGGACCGGGATTCTATCAGGTGCAGTGCAAAACACAAAAACATGCCAAAACTAAGCTCACAGATGTTCCAAAAGCAGAGGAAAACGTCAAGGAGGAAGACACAACTGGGAGGGGAAGATATGAGGGACATGGCGGTGATACCTGAAAAAAGAAAAAAAAAAAGATAAAAATCTGTCCCTAAGTCAAAGCCATCAAAAGGCATGGAATGCCTACAAGGGCAGGGACAAGCACCAAAGGTTCCTCTAGTGGTCCCCATTGAAATCGCAAGATTCCCTTTCCCTTCCCGAAAGGAAATGAAATTTCATTTCTGGAAGGGAAAGGGAATCTTGCGACCCTGAAAAGAAAGGCTTACAAACACTCTGGAAAGGAGATAGGATCAAATGAAATGCAACTGATAAAAACCAGAAAATCGGCAATTTTAGTGTCTTCAAAAAATTGGCTGTGGGGAAATGAGCTGCATTGCAAAGGACCAACACATGCCAAAAGTAAGCTCTCAGACGTTGCAAAAGCAGGGGGAAATGTCAGCGAGGAGTACACACCATAGGGAGAAAGATATGAGGGACATGGCATGGGGACTTAAAAAAAAAAAAATTCCTTGCCAAACTGAAAAACATGGACATGCAGGCAGGCCATATGCCATCAAGTGCAGGCACATGCAGCACAGCTTGCCCAAATTGGTCCCCACTGAAGGCCAAAAGAGAAAAGAAGGACTTACAAACACGCTGGAATGGAGATGGCATCAAAGGAATTGCAATTGGAGGAGAAAAAAATGCAAATTTGGGAAATTCCCCGATGACAAGAAAATGGACCGGGATTCTATCAGGTGCAGTGCAAAACACAAAAACATGCCAAAACTAAGCTCACAGATGTTGCAAAAGCAGAGGAAAACGTCAAGGAGGAAGACACAACTGGGAGGGGAAGATATGAGGGACATGGCGGTGATACCTGAAAAAAGAAAAAAAAAAAGAAAAAAATCTGTCCCTAAGTCAAAGCCATCAAAAGGCATGGAATGCCTACAAGGGCAGGGACAAGCACCAAAGGTTCCTCTAGTGGTCCCCATTGAAATCGCAAGATTCCCTTTCCCTTCCCGAAAGGAAATGAAATTTCCTTTCGGGAAGAGAAAAGGAATCTTGCGAGTCCCAAATTAAGGTTCACAAATACTCTGGAAAGGAGATAAAATCAAATGAAGTGCAATTGAAGTAGCCAAAAATTGGGAATTTTATTGTCTTCAAATCTAGGCTGTGAGGAAATGAGCTCCTTTGCAGAGTACCAAAACATGCCACAACTTAGCTGAGAGATGTCGTAAAAGCAGGGGAAAAAGTCAAGGAGTACACAACATTTGGAGAGGAAGATATGAGGGACATGGCACGGATTCTTAAAAAAAAAAAAAAGAAGAAGAAAAGTATTTCCCGAATTCAAAGCCATCAAAATGCATGGCATGCCAACAATGGCAGGGAGATGCACCAAAGATTCCTCTCTTCGTGGCCATTGAAATCGTAAGATTTCTTTTTCCATCCCGAAAGGAAATCACTTTCCGGCTCCCCCAGCCCGTGTTGCCCCGGGATGGCCCCGTGTCCCCAGCTGCCTGTGTCCGGGCATCTTCCTCAGCTGTGAGGGCTGCAGATCTCCAGGTGCCCAGGGCTCTGTGCCGGCCGCCCTGCACAGCTCCCAGCTCCTGCTGCCAGGGCCTCAGCGCCCGCCATGTGCCCTCCCGCACCCACTGGTAGCCCAGGCCCCGCTTGTTGCCCTCATGGCGGCACTGCTGGCCCCAGCGCTCTCCAAGGCCTTCTCCAGGGGCACGTTCCTGCGGCCTTCCAGTCCCTGCCCGGGAGCCAGCAGAGACCTGCACAGGGGCTGTTGGTTAGGGCCTGCAGGGGCAGTGCCAGGGCCAGTGGCTTCCCAGTGACACAGGGCGGCCTTAGGCTGAAGATGGGCAGGGAATTCTGACCTCGGAGGCTGCTGAGGCCTGGACCATGCTGCCCACAGGAGCTGTGGCTGCCCCATCCCTGGCGGTGTTCCAGGCCAGATTGTATGGGCCTTGGGGCAACCTGGCCTAGAGGAAGGTGTCCATGCCCTTGGCAGCAGGGCTGGAACAAGACAATTTCTAAGGATGCTTCTACGCCACGCCATTCTGGGATTCTGTGATCTGAGCGGCTGGATTGGCTTGACTTCATTTCTTTTTTTAGCTGTAAGGAGTCTATTCATGAGCCCAGATTCTCAGTGTGTGACATTTATCATTACTATAGGCCTGACTGAGATCTATAAATTCTTGCACACCCCAGATTCTGCAAATTTGCATTTTATTGAAACTAGTGTTAAGTAGTTTCCAGCTTTCCACTCTGAAATGCGCTAACTATGGAGCGTTAATATGGGATACGGCAGATAGCAACACTAGATAAGGCTTTACTTGTACATAAAAATTGTATCATATATATAATATATATATATGGCATATAACATATATTATGTAGCTATAATAATATATAATGTATATAGTATATGCACAATATGTATGTTTTATATGTAATAATTATATCTATTTTATGAGAAACTTTCCAGACATAAATGCACTAACAGTATTAATATATTTCAGAACAGATAGTGAAACTAAAATGTGTTCTCCAGTTATTACTTTAACAGAATCACATATTCAGCTCTTTAGAATTCTTTCTTACCATGACATAATATTTACATGTTTTTTTAATATTATTTCTGTGAGAATATTGCTTTACTGTCTTATATGATAATTTATAAACTTATGAGTATATAATTTGTACACATGATATCAATATCTATGAAATAAAAATCTAGAGTCTTATATACACAAAATTCCAGGTGATCTCCAACACAGTTCGTCCAATGGTTCCATAAAGGTTTTCCTCCCAGGACGAAGGAGAGACTCCATTCATTGACTCATCCCACGCAAGCAGTGCTAATTTTTCCTCTCGGTCCTTTTTGCCCTGTTTCTTTTTTTCTTTTTCATTCCCACATTCCCTTTACTTTCTTACCTCAATTTTTGGCCTTTCTCAAAGGCAGGGAAAACCTGCATCTTGCAGGTTGGGTTTGGTGACTTTCGCCCTTGATGTACGGCATGTGCTTTCTTCATGCGCATTCTTAGGATGGGGGAAATTCTTGCAGGGCTTCATGTTGATCTGGTTGACCTCTTTTGAAAAATTAGATGATACAAGGAGGTAGAATACACCCTCCCATGGCTTTCTGCCAGCTGAGGTGGCAGGAGAGGCTGTGGGACCTTTGCCAGAGCCTTTGCACAAATGCTCTTCTCCCTAAAGCACCAAATTTTTACTAGGAGGTGGCTCTCTGCTGCCAGCTGCAAGCAGCACAAGCACAGCTCTGTGCAGGAGAATTTCTTTCAATCATCAGGTTTAAGGATTGCTACAAGCTGACATTGCAGGTCCAAGTACTCGCCTATCCCCTGGGAACAGACAACTGGATCCATCACCAAGCGATGGAAGAGATTGGGTAGCTCAGCTGTTTGAACATCTGGGGGCAAACTGATCTCCTCAGGAAGGCTCTTGTTACCCACAATGAAGTGGTTGAGGCATTTCACTTCCAGGGATAAGAGCAGTCTCTCGCTGATGTCCATCAGTCGCCTCAGGAAATATCTCCTGCACCACTATGACACGGGAATGACGTTCAGGAGGTGCATGACAATCGTCTTCATGGTGTAGGTGGAAAAGCCTATACCCAGCTGAAGATGGGAGAAGAGCTGCAGGCATCTCAGCTGCAAGCTGCCAGGAGGGGCCTGCCTGGCAATGTGCTTGAAGAACTTCATCTCTGCCACATCATAGGTCTCCAGCCACAGAGTGCTTGGGGTTCCAGCATATCCTGGCTGGCTGCTCACAAAGATGTCAGAGTCACCTCTCCGCACCCCGAAGACCATCTCAATCCTGAAGCTTTCCCTGCCATTGGTCACCTTGAATTGGCAGGAGCGTGTGGAGGGCAGCAGCACTAAATGCCAGTTGTGGGACTGAGGCAAAGCTGGCCAGACTGCTCTCACCAGTTGGTAGAACCAGCGGGCAGTTTTCTGCACGTCCAAGTAGGAGCCGGTGCACAGGGTGTCCAGGAGGCTGGGATCCTGATTCCTCCTCAGCTCCTCCTTGGGGTGGTGCACGAAGCACAGCATGTTCTCAGCCTGTTGCTCCCTGGTGCAGGTGCACTCCAGCTGCACGCGGACATGGAAGTTCCTCACGTGCCTCTGCCCTGCACTGTCCAGCTCCAGGTGGAAGCTGTGGCCTCGCGGAGGAGTCATGGGGATGAGCACACGACACACCACATCCTGCTCACGGGGACTCCAGCCTTCAAAGGCACTGCCCACCCCGATGGCTCTTTGCAGGACTGGGTAGAAACTGTTTGACAAGATGTGTGGAGAGTTTAGTTCAAGAATGGCTTAAAGAAAAAGGCCATGAGACATGCAATTGAGAGAAAAGAAAAAGGGAAAAGTAAAGCAGTTCCTAACACAGTTCTCAGCCTTCAGATTTCTATAAACAATTAGACTCTCTTTAAAAACAATAAAGTTCTCAGACTGTCTTCCCATAACAAGCAGAACACCGTCTCTGGGAAAAGCTGCACCCTGGGAACAGATGTAGAAGTTTTGGGAACTCTGGTTCTGTTTCTAATAAACAATTGTAGGTATTCTAAAACAAAAGGAGTGGTTAGAGTTTTCTCTGTTAGCCTATCATGAACCTGGATTACAGAATATGCATGAAGTTCGTTAACACTGTTATTTAAGGTGATGGATTGATCAATAAATTGGAGTTTGATGCATCAATCGGATGGTCCTTCTCCCTTCACTTCAAAATGTGGTGACCCCGACGTGATAGCGGACACCACGGGAAGTGAAGCCAGGGTCGGGTTCCGAAGATCGAAACTGCAGCCGGAACGGCAAAAGAAGTGTGGAAGAAAAAGTGGAGGACAACCCGCCGATCCGTGCCGTGCCCCGGGCGACCGTACAGACGGGCTTGGCCGATACATGCGGCCGCGACCTTGAGGAGCTGCAAAGCGCGCGCTTACAAAATAGGTATGGAAAGGCAAGCCGCATATGAACTTTTTATTACTTTCCTGCAAAAAAGGCAGGTTAAGGGGATAGACTTGCAGAAAGAATTACCAGGTCTTTTGGCTTATGGTTTGGAAAGGGGAATCTTTGTTAATCCCCACACAGTTCACGAGTTGTCGGAATGGCGTAAATTTGGTGATTTATTGTGGCAGGCTACGTTAGATGATGACAAAACTGCTAAGAAGTGGGGTAAATTATGGCAGGTCATTAACACCGAACTGTTGCAGTTTCAGGCTGAAAAAAGGGCTGCTCACCAGGCTACAAGCCAGCCTATAGGCCAAGCTACGAGCCAGGCTACAAGCCAGGCTACACAGACCGCCTCACTACCCGCTTCGCAGCCCCCCCTAACGAGCCAAGCTCTGCAGGGTGCCTTATTGTCCGCTTTGCTGCAGGCTACACAGAGCACTTCTGAGTCTCCCGTATCTGCTGTATCTCAGCAGCTGGGGCCAAAAACGCATACTCCATTCCCGACAACCAATCAGTCGATCCCTGGGGCGGAAAACGACTTAGCGGCGACGATTGCGAGGGAAAGACAAGATGTGTGGGCTGCCCTGGCCAAAGATGCAATTGAAAAGGGAGATCAAGAGCTGATAATTTCGGCTCGAGAGCTGGCTTGTCCGGTTGTCTTTAACCCTCAGGCTGGGGGCGGCATACAAGCGACAATCAGTGCTCTTGACTGGCAACTGTTATCTCAATTGCGAGCTACTGTTAGTCAGTTTGGATTTAAAAGCGAACCAGCTAATCAAATGCTCGATTATATTTTTGACACCAGTATCCTTCTCGTTAATGATTGTCGTGGCATAGTTAAATTAATCTTTACCCAACATCAACAATTGCTGTTTCATGCCCATTGGCGGGTACTTGTTAGTGAGTGTGTGGCAGTTCAGAGACAGCCGGGTGACCCCCTGCATGGTGTCACTGTTAATGAACTTATGGGTCTGGGACCTTTCCTTCGTACTGAGGCACAAGCCTTAATAGGTCAGGAGAAGTGCCAGGAGGCTATGAGGTTAGTTAGACTCGCAATAGACATGGTGAAGGAACCAGGAGGGATACCAGTGTATATGGGAATTAAGCAAGGCAGAGAGGAGTCATTTGGCGCTTTTATTGATAAAGCTGCTGCTGCAATTGAAAGAGCTGGCGTGCCGGAATATTTGCGCGGGGTACTACTCAGACAGTGTGCCCTTCAAAATTGTAATTCTACTACTAGAAACATACTTAATACCTTAGGTGCGAATTGGACTATAGAGGAGGCATTAGAGAGGATGGCTCTTATTCCTACCGGGCAGCAGGCTTTTGTGGTAGATGCACTCAAACAGATAGGAATAGGTTTGCAAGAACAGGCAAAATTCTCTCAAAGTCAGGTATTAGCCACACTTGCACCTCTTCAAGCATCGGCAGCACTACCTCCGACGACTAATTGGGGCCAAAAATGCCGCCCGGACGACCAGGCACCAACAGAAGCCATCGCTGCAGCATCAGTACCCTCTCCTGCCTCTAATCCTCCGCAACAGGGAGCCTTCAACCCGACACCACAGGGAGCCACCGCGGGGCAAGCGGAACCACCGCGAAGGGAGTGACCCGCAGCGCGGAGCGGAGATGAATTGGCAAAAGGATTGAACAGGACTTTGGACTTACGGCTACGGTAAAGGGATTTTCCATATGGTTTACGGGTTAACGGAAATGTATGAATTCGGTGATTTATGGTGGAATTGTGGTGCTGTGCTACTCCGAACTCGGCACGGGCGCGCCGCCATGGCCAACAGTTGCGGCGAGCAACCGCCTGAATTGCTGCGTTGTAGCGGCGATAGCAGAGGCAGCAGCGGGAAGATCAAAGCCGCTGCCGCAGGAACCGAGCCGCGCCACCCCGGGAGCCGCGCCGGGAGTGACCGAAGAACACCGCGGGGGGAGCGACCGGAGCCGCACCGCGATCATGTGTGAACTGGGGGCAGATGTCCACAGGGGGCCAGTTGCTGCTTGGGAACAGTGGCTGGACATCAGAGAGCAGGTGATGGGGGAGCAATCGTGCTGTGCATTGATAGCAACGGGTGCAGCGGTGTCTGCAGTAGAGTCAGCCAGCAAACAGTGAGCCCAGCGCGGGAGGGGAGTTTTCGCCCGCTCCGACACAAGCGCCATCCATTTTCAGGGCTAGTTGATTCGGCAGGTGAGTTGTTACACACTCCTGAGCGGATTCCGACTTCGCGGGACCAGAGCGCTTTTTCCAGCGGGAGCGCTTCTCCCTCCGCCCTGCAGCCGGCAAAAGCTACAGTTTAAGACCTAACAGCTGTAATAATTGTGACTCTTGTCAACAAAAGAAAAGATTCCTGCTGCAGTTGAGAAACCAGTGAAAATAAACAAGCGAAGTTAAAGGGACTTTTGTTCTTCCCAGCACAGACTGTGAAACAGAAATCAGCGTAAATGAATGCAGGAGTCGAGTTTCGGCCGATTTGGCTCGGCATTGGTTATGCTGTCTTGGAATCACCTGTATTAGCAGAGACCTTAACATCAGAAGCCCGGATAGCTCAGTCGGTGGAATATCAGACTCTAAAGCTGTGTTTTGAAAAATTTAAAATTGTTTAAGATGTGTTAAAGTGATTGTAGAAGTAAGATGTAATGACTGTGTTTTTTGTATTCTTTAAGCTTTGTTTAGATGTGATAGATGTAAAAGCAAGGACTGAATTCAAAAGAATTTTTTCACAGGTATACCTTGAATAAGCTTATGTTTAATTGTATTTAAGTATAAAAATGCTGCAGCAACAACATGGGAAAGGTTATTTTAGAAACAGGCCTGTAAGTAAGCTATAGTGAATACTATATATTAGTTCTGTGGTAAGTTTTATCTATTATTAGGTGGTTTAAGTTGAATTATCTATTAAGTGCCGTTAAGTGTTAAATACTATTAAGGTTAAGTTTGTTAAGTTTATTTTCGGTTAAGTTCGAGGTCTGCTAAGTTTGAATTATATATAGATTTAAGTCATGTAGAATTTGGGGTCAGTTAAATTCTGTTATAGTTAAGTTTTATTAGATTTAAGTGATTTTACATGATTTGCAAATAAGTCTGCTAAGTTAAATATTTTAAGTGCCTTAAATGCATACTACTTTTTCACCACTCCAAATTAACAAAGGACTGAGAATCGCCCAGCTGATGCCATTTGAGCCAAATGACTAAAGGATTACAGACTGAAAACTGACTTTGAACATTTCTGAGAAACCCATGAAAAAAGGTGGATGTAATAATCTCAAGGACAGAAAGGATCATTTTCAAGCTTTTTCACCTCCTCTCCAGGTTCGCATGAATGAAAACAGCTAACAGCTTTCTTTTCTTAGTCCAACTACCACCTGTCGTGCAATGCCTGATAAGGCTGGACATTATGACTCAGCTGGGGATGGTTTTAACCCTTTGGGGTGAAAGCCATTGCTCAGACCGTGGTTGGAAACCTTATAGAGATATTAGGTGTTCTTTTATTGCTTTTACTTATCTTACCTTGCTTCTGCAGTTGTATCCAAAAGATGGTTGGTAGGATGATAGAGAAGACCTGGCAAACTAACCTCTTTTCTCTCAAAGAAAAAGACGGGGGAAATGTGGAGAGTTTAGTTCAAGAATGGCTTAAAGAAAAAGGCCATGAGACATGCAATTGAGAGAAAAGAAAAAGGGAAAAGTAAAGCAGTTCCTAACACAGTTCTCAGCCTTCAGATTTCTATAAACAATTAGACTCTCTTTAAAAACAATAAAGTTCTCAGACTGTCTTCCCATAACAAGCAGAACACCGTCTCTGGGAAAAGCTGCACCCTGGGAACAGATGTAGAAGTTTTGGGAACTCTGGTTCTGTTTCTAATAAACAATTGTAGGTATTCTAAAACAAAAGGAGTGGTTAGAGTTTTCTCTGTTAGCCTATCATGAACCTGGATTACAGAATATGCATGAAGTTCGTTAACACTGTTATTTAAGGTGATGGATTGATCAATAAATTGGAGTTTGATGCATCAATCGGATGGTCCTTCTCCCTTCACTTCAATAAAGATGTGTCCAAAATAAACTGTGTAATTGTCCATCAGGTCAGTTGTCCACTCACAGCCTGCCCGTAGGTCCTGTACAGGCCACTGGATGCACTCCACTAACATCCTTCCTATGTTCTCTTGAACACGATCATCTACTTCATTTCCGCCCTCATCTTCACCTGCACTCACACTTTCTTCTTCAGGCTCCTCTCTCCTCATGCTCCTTTTGCACCCCATAAACCAAAGGACCAAGAGAAGGATGAGAAGCAGAGCAACAGCTAAGATCTGCAAATATTTCCACACTCCACTTTGCTCCAGAGCCAACTGCTCCATCTCCCACTCCAGCCAAAACCTTTCCAGTTCCTGCTGCTCTGCCTGCACCTTCATGTGCAGAGGTGTTTCCTCATCCCAAACATCACTCATGGGCTGTGGGTACTGGATGAGGCTTTGCAAGAGCATGAAAAGGAATACTATGGAATTCATAGCCTGCAGGAGGATAGAGAGAAGGTCCTGAGCGGTGCTGTGAGGGAGGCAGTTAGCATTGGGTGAAGCAGGGATGGGGATCCTCAGGGATCTGAGGTCTGGAAGGACAGGGCCTCACACAGCTGGCAGGCAGTAGCAGCATCAGCCCTGTGGCCTGCCCAAGGCTCTCCCATGAGGGGCTGTCCCTGCATGCAGAGGGAGAACCCAGCCCCAGGGGCAGCGTTTATGCCCCAGCCCTTGTTCCCAGCCCAGCCTCCCCGCCACGTGTGCACTCACCGCTTGCCAAAGCAATGCAGGGCCAGCGTTACCTGCTGGGGCCTTTTAGAGCTGCCCCCTTTGTGACACGTCCCCCGTGATGTCACACGTGTCACAAATGTCACAATCCAGCCAACCCCACTCTTTATCCCCACCCTGGCTCAGGCACTCAGAGTGGCCCTTTAGTGAAGCTTCTTCAAAGAGTTCCCATTGCTCTTTCTTTTGGATTTATTTTCATCTGCCCTTCATTGGCAATCTCATAGATATCTCTGTTGGAAGGCACCCTTGAGGATCACTGAGTTTAAGCTTTGACTCCTCACTGGTTGAGCTATACTGAAATCTCAGTGTCAGTGAGACTGAAGAGTCTCTGAAGATCACACAGTGCAACTGCAAACTTAACACTGCCTCCTTTATTAATAAATTGAGTCCCCAAATATTCCATGCCTTTTCAATCCCTCCAAGGAGGGGACTCAGCTATTTCCCTAGGCAGCCAGTTTCCATGCTTGATATTAGTTTCCATGAAAGCACTTTTTCTAAGATCCAATCTAAATATCTACATGTGATACAACTTTACGTCATTTTCCTTGGTCTTACTGCTTGTTTCCTTGTGTCACTGGACAAATGGAATCTTCAGACAAGCCCCTCCTTAGCCCAAGATTTTGTCAACAGCTCATATTTAAGAAATCTCTCTTGTCTGCAAGTTCTAAAGATCAAATCTATTTATAAAATGCATTATTTATTAAATGGACAGGAGATAATAGATAAACTATCTCTGTCATAGTTACTTACGACTCAGTATAAAACTAAAAGGAACTAGAAGTAGATCACAGCATAACAAACAATGTACAACATGAAAGTAACCATATTAAAGCTTGTCAAGGAAACAGCACTGATCAGGAGTCAAATGTTACACACCACTGTGATGATGATAATAATGCAGATTTCTTTCACTTAACCTCCATGGCAGTAATTGAAAACAAGTGTCCTTGTCCACAGGAGAAGCATCACACATTTCCAGAGAAATGTACAGAAAACTTCTGCTTTGTGAAAGTTTGGTATGGCTTTTATAGTTATAAAGTGAGGTGCCTGTCAGTCAGAAATCCAGTTTCTTTTTCCAGATCTCACTTCAACAGTAAGATGTTTATTGGCAGGTGGGAGATGCCAGCCCACTGTTAGCTCCATGGCTCCAAAAGAACTCGCTGCAAGACTGCTGGTCCTGTTTGAATTACCTGAGCAGTTAACAAACCACAGATCAGCTCTTGAGCAGAGTAAGATGCCCTGCCACACCTGTGAGAATATATCAACCCCCACCTGACTACAACTTCCCTTCAGGGAGCTGTAGAGAACCACAAGGTCCCCTCTGAGGCACTTTTTCTCTATGCTAAACACCCCCAATATTGCAGTGGGCGGCGTCCAGAGTGCCATGACCTTCCCAAAGAAGACTCTTAAAAAAGACACCTCACTGTCTGTGCCCATCTTGGGTGATTTCAACTCTTTTATGATTCAAGTGACACAGAAGAAGAGATGGGGTCTTTGCGTGGAGTTTCAAGGAGAGCCTTTACTGAGCTTCTTCCTTGAAACAGTCCAAGAGTCACTCAGGCAGGGAAAGCTGGGAAAGCAGGGATTTATAGAGGGATCTTGAGGGGTGGGACAGAACACTAGGGCCAATGGGATGAGGGCACAGGGGTGGAGTGAGGGGGAAGGGCCAATGGGATACATTCAATCTGCATG